AATATGGGGAAGCATGGCAAATCGACTACAAGTACCTAGTCAGAAAATGTTGGAAAGGGATATATACTTAGACTTGCTGGGGAAGCATATCTTAGAATTAATAATGAGGATTGTACCTTGTATATGTTTGCTTATAAATTTTAAAACCAACTTGTCTCTTACTTCTAGCAAGAAAACTCTGTTTTTTTTATATAAAAGTGTGTTTTTCTTCTATCATTAGTTATAAAAATAACGAGATGAGAAGGGACAAGATTTTGTTTAATGTGTTGGATTTTATAAGCCATGTGTAATACAAATTGCCTTAAGTTTTAGTAGCTTTTTAAATATGGTGCATGGTTTTGATGTTTTTGTCTTTATGAATCAACTGTGCATTTCATCAAAAAGCTTTTAAAATTTTGTTTCATGTGTTATAGGAAACCGGGTTGCAGTATAAGAAATTTGTGGCCTATCCTTGGATCCTGACGGTTACTTGGCCAGTGGACACAGTAAGGTTCTTTTGTAGTTTTTTGCAACTCACGCTTTCAAAGTGCCTGTCTCTTGTGATTGACTTCAAAGGGAGGTGAAGGTGACTCATTGAGTTGGGTGCAATGAATTGCTCATATAGCATTTTGAACAGGCTGATGTATGTCAAGTTGCAGTGGTGTTCAAGAACGTTCCCCATCCCTTCCAGCAAGCTCTACACACACATGTATGCACACAGGTTTAGACAGACAGGTTTGTTCAAAAGCTTGTTTCATCAAAATATTCTCTTGCAAACATAAATGTTTGATTGTAAGAGTATTTTGAGAACAGAAACAACTTTTCTGTAATGCTTCTTCCCATACAGCACTTTGTGGTGGGTTAACCCTGGGTGGAGGCCAGGTGCCCCTCCAAGCCGCTTTATCGCTCCCCTCCTCAGCTGGACAGATGAGAAAAAATATAACAAAAGGCTTGTGGGTTAAGATAAGGACAGGGAAAGGTCATTCACCAACTACTGTCATGGGCAAACCAGACTCAACTTAGAAAAAATTTTATCGAATTTATTATCAAGCAAAACAGAGTAGAGCAATGAGAAATAAAACCAAATCTTAAAATACCTCCCCCCACCCCCTCCTTTCTTCGCAAGCTCAACTTCACTCCCGATTTCTCTACTTCCTCCCCCCCACCAGCAGCACAGGGGGACGGGGAATGGGGGTTGTGGTGAGTTCATCACACGTTGTCTCTACCACTCCTTCCTCCTCAGTGGTAGAACGACTTGCACTCTTCCCCTGCTCCAGCGTCAGGTACCTCTCATGGGAGACAGTCCTCCATGAACTTCTCCAATGTGAGTTCCTCACACGGGCTGGAGTTCTTCATGAACTGCTCCAGTGTGGGTCCCTTCCATGGGGTGCAGACCTTCAGGAGCAGACTGCTCCAGTGTGGGTCTCCCACGGGGTCACAAGTCCTGCCAGCAAACCTGCTCTGGCTTGGGCTCCTCTCTCCACGGGTCCACAGGTTCTGCCAGGAGCCTGCTCCAGTGTGGGCTTCCCATGGGGCCACAGCCTCCTTCAGGTGTCTCCACCTGCTCCGGCGTGGGGTCCTCCACAGGCTGCAGGTGGAA